TTAAGAGTTGGTCGTCAGGAACTGTGAACCTTGAATTGGTTTTATTTTCGCATCAGGTAGGACATTTGTTAGTTCCTTCATTTGTTAGTTCCTTTGTTATATTTGGCTTCTTTTCTTTTCGTGTTACTAGGGTTAGGAGTGTTGCTTTAGGCACATACTAAAAACTTGTTTGGTGTACTTCGGGAATGTTGGATTTTTTAGGGTTAAGACTTCCTCCTTTAAATTTTAGTTTTACAGTTGGCTTGTTATGAGGTCTGGGCATGTCTTTTTTTTTTTTTTTTTTTTTTCCCTTGCCTTTTTGGTTCCATTTTTCACAAGGGACGGGTTCCGCTTGCTGAAGTGAAGCGGGAGACTCGTGGCCCCTGGATTGCGATTGACTTTCATTGCTTTTTTTTTTAAGACCATTTCACGATTAATGAGTGTAGGGTCCATGTTAATCTTTTCTGTATCGTTCCAATTTCAACGGATGTCTCAAAGGACTTTCAGTGTATTTTTGCCTTCGACACTGGACCCTTCAACGAAGGAACCGTTTTGAAAAAAAACAAGAAAAAAAAAGAAAATGCACTGAATCGCTGCGACCACCATTTCAGTTTTTTTTTTTTTTTTTTTTTAATCATATTTCTCCTGGGAAGTTCACGACCTAATCTGCGGGCCATTTAATTTTCAGGTTTCTGAACGTAGTCTTCTGAGCACGAAAAGCACTGAATTTAGGGTACTTTTTCCGTTGGCCCCCACGTCGTGGAGTGACAACGATGAAAAAAACAAAAAAAACATCAAATCGGCGCGACAAGTATTTCATGTTCTTTTTTTTTTTTCATATATATTTTTCTTAGAAAGATCCTGACCTAATTTACAAGATACCAAATTTTCAAAGTTTTCTGTTTATTATTTTGGGCGTGAAAAATCGTCAAAGTAAGGTACTTTTTAATTGCGGGACTGGACCTGCCAGTACCCACCGGTCGCCCCCTTTCCCAAAAATCCGGCAGTAACTCACCGGAGGCAGGTTTTTGGGTGTCGGGGGGCAACCTCTTGCTTCTGAAATTCTACTTTCTCCTTCGCAATGCACCACAAAAAGCAAAAAACAAACCAAAACGTCGAAAAAAAGATTGCTCTTACTGTACGAGTCTGTCTCCATCACACATGCGTTATCCATTTACGAAGTTTTTTTTCTTTCTCTTTTAGTCGCTAGGGGGGGGGGGGGGGGGGGG